ATAAATCAGTTTATTTCTGATCACAAGTGCTTTCTGATTTGTAAGCTGCCAAACACACAGCATAAGAAAAATGGATGAAATCTCTTTTCCTCTACCAAGGGACAACCTGTATTTCACACTTCATGTTAACTCACAGAACAAAGGAGATACTGAATGACATAAATAAGAAGGTGAAGCATAAGATGTATACCAGAAATTTGTGTTCAAAGCTTTTGTTTTGACTCCAAAAGCATTTTAAAATATTAGCTGTGCAACACCACACACTACGCACATCAAAGTTTTAGGGGAAAAATGACATTACAACAGTATGGCCATTGGATGATCATTTGTATGCTCACATTCTGGCTGTGCAGATATTCAAGCACTTGATTTGGAGACCTTTAATTTAGAGAACAAGGGGCTATTATCCCTTCTTCATCCATGTACAGCATTCACAGTATAGATAGTACCCAACGCTGTACCTGCCCACAGTGCCCCTCAGCCACAAGACTGAGCCAAGGGACTTTCTGCATCCCATGCACAAGCTGTTCATCCTTTGAGAGTTTTACAGACATTCAGTTTATCTGGTTTCCTTTTTCCCTTGCTGACGCCTTTTTTCGCCTCCTCATTCCTCCCGTTTTCTCCAACCATCGCCTCACAAATCCTATTCTCTCCACACTCCTTGAAACCTTGTTTCAAGTTTCTAACTCCTGCAGTGGCATCATCTCATCGATACGCATGATGTTAGTTATCACCTTAAAGAAAAGCATGTCCCTAGGAAATGTCTAACTTGCCTAATTTACCTAATTTGAGGTAAAAGAAACTCAGAGTACCCAGAGTAGACATCACTCAATCCTGATTCCTTCTTTCATCAAAGACAATTTCCAGACCATGATGAGCATGATGCAAACAGGGTAAACTTCTGTGAAGCACCCAAAAGCAGCAACTTTTCCACTACCATTTTTCACCTCACAATTAGTCCTAAGACCACTCCCAGAGGCTCAGGCAAACTCCCAGCTTCAGTATCAGTACAACTTTGGCAAAAGGTTGCACAGGCTGAGGAACGGTAAAGGCAAAAGACGGCATAGATCATCTGCTTCACGCCATTAAATGGCTGGCTTCCTTCAACAATCAGCTCCCTTGGGCTGGCTGGTTCAAGGACTGTCTTCTACATCTGCCCTGAACAAGGTACTTTGTGCAGGTTAAGCCTTCCTTAGGTAACAATGGACAAGGACTCATGTTGAGCTCATGAGGTTCAACAAGGCCAAGTGCAGGGTCCTGCACTTGGGTTGGGCAACCCCCAGTATCAGTACAGGCTGGGGGATGAAAGGATTGAGAGCAGCCCTGCCAAGAAGGACTTGGGGTACTGGTGGATGAAAAGCTGGACATGAGCTGGCAAAGTGTGCTTGCAGCCCAGAAGGCCAACCGTATCCTGGGCTGCATCCAAAGCAGCGTGGCCAGCAGGTCGAGGGAGGTGATTCTGCCCCTCTGCTCAGCCCTGGTGAGACCCCACCTGCAGTCCTGCGTCCAGCTCTGGAGCCCTCAGCACAGGAAAGACATGGACCTGTTGGAGCAGGTCCAGAGGAGGGCCACAAAAATGATGAGAGGGATGGAACACCTCTCCTGTGAGGACAGGCTGAGAGAGTTGGGGCTGTTCAGCCTGGAGAAGAGAAGGCTCCAGGGAGACCTTCTTGCAGCCTTCCAGTACTTAAAGAGTCCCTATTAGAAAGGTGGGGACAGACTTCTTAGCAGGGTCTGTTGCAATAGGACAAAGGGTAATGGTTTGAAACTAAAAGAAGGCAGATTCAAACTAGATAGAAGGAAGACATTTTTCACAATGGTGGGTGAAGCACTGGCCCAGGTTGCCCTGAGGGGTGGTAGATGCCCCATCCCTGGAGACATTCACAGTCAGGTTGGACGGGGCTCTGAGCAACCTGCTGTAGTTGAAGATGTCCCTGCTTATTGCAGGGAGGTTGGGCTGGATGGTCCCTTCCAACTCAAACTATTCTATAATTTTATGATTCTAAGTTCTGAATATCCCCCAAACATGGAGGCTCATATTAATGTCTATGTCCGGCACAGTCCACGCTTGTTTCCAATGGTGGCTAACCTGATGAATATTTGTAGGGAGCATCACTTTAAGCAAAACCTCCTTCACTGACAGACACCTCCAGCATGGGTTTATGTGCCTTCTTACTATCATTTTACAGCCCTGAACACTGCACTTGCTCAAGACCTTTCCTGTGATGCTAGCCACTCTAAAATGAGGTTGCTCTTCAATCTTGCTTGAATATAATACTCTGTAATGAGGAACACATCAGCTGATATCTTAAAGAAACTGGAGGAGAAAGCCAGCTGCTGCATGTGGAAGCAATGCCCTACATGGGAGGCCAAGTAACCTCGTGCTGTGTTTGGAGGAGGAATGCCTGCTGGCAGGTAACCGGGCTGGGACAGACCAAGGGGCAGACGTCATCTGTGGCTCTGAGCACATCCCAGAACATCACAGGAAGCTTGTCCTGGCAAGCAGCTGTTTTTTCACACAATGAAATAGAAAGAGTGGGTAAGGATTTTATTCGTAGTAATAGCTTTATTATCTTTTTTTATATAGCAACAAATGCCAGGTATACCTGAAGCATTTCCTATTAGTAAATAATCTTTTTATCAGTTTCATACCATTAACAATCCAATATTATACTGACACAAAGCACATTTGACAGAGTTAGATTTTATGACTGTTCAGAAACTAAAGCTCAGTATAGAAGTCAACTGTGTGGCTGGTAAGTAGGTCATCTGTTGGGAACAGATGTGCTCTTTCATCTGCAACCGCTTGCCAGCTGGCTTTGACCTATTATGCCCTAAATGTCCTACTCTGCCTAACTAAGGGAGAGTGTGGTGACTCAAAGGGCTAGGAATCTTTCACTGATTATTCTCCAAAGGTCCCCTTAACCTGGAATTCATTTCCCAGCCTTTTACTTTAAAGAATCCTGATGTGTTGTCTTCTAGTGCGCACAAGGCTGATCTGTTCTTCCAGACTTGGAAAAGGAATGAAGGCAAGGGAATCAGGCTAATGATAATTTGAATATCATTTGGTTTTGCCTGTGGTATTGGCTTCTAGACAAAATATTTATTTTTTGAAGCTAAGACTCTTTGTTTAGCAGTTTAAATTTATCACAAAGTAGTTAGTGCCAAGGATTGGCAGAAAAATGCCTTTATGTGTGTTCCTAAATATACAGAATGAAAAAACCCACACTGCATTTGTTTAAAAGAATATTAAACAAACGTCATGTCCAGCTGTGCACAGCTGTAGTGACATACTTTAGGATCTCAGAGCCAGACGTACCTGTTTTCAATGTAAAAACACATTTAAAATTTAAGAAAGTTATGATTCCCTTAATCTTGTGGGATGCATTCTTAAGCCTTAGGAGGGTCCACAAGTGTTAATTCTTGCATTTATATTTATATGTTATTTTTTTATATATATTTATGTTAGGATACAGGAAAAATGAGAGAAAGAAAGGAGAAATTGTTTAGGGATACTCAGCATTCTCTAACCTCCTTCCAGTTTAACCCATACTTGCTTACGTTAAGGGTAGCAGAAAATGCCTAGGACTTTAGAAGAGATGGAACATACTTTCTTCTTCTTCAGTTTCTAAAGCAAACAAGGGATGACCAGTGATGGCCTTGGGCAATGCAGTTTAAGACAGTGGTGATTCCTAGTTTACACATACACAGCGCAGTGCAGTTACACCTTCTCTGTAGAAGGTGTAGAAGTTATACCTTTCCCTGTAGAAAAAAGAAGTTGAGCATGCTGTCCCTACAGAGTCACCGCAAAGCCCTTCTCAACTAGCTGATGTGCCAAAAAAGACCCACATTTGCCCTTTCCAAGCACTTGCGGATAAAGGATGGCTAACTCTTAATGCATGCACAAAAACATTTCTCGTTTACTGCATGCAAGACTATTTATTGTTTTGCACCCAAATTAAAGGTTTCTTACTTTACACATTCTGCCAACCTCCCAACTAAAGCAGGCAAAAAGAGGGAAGTGTTTATTCCTGCAAACATTAGTCAAAAGGGGATAAACAGAAATTACTGAAGCTTCTAAAAAAAACCACCCAAAAACACAAAAAAAGCCCCTACAAAACACAAAAACAAACCAACCCCAAACATATATCTGCATTCTGGGTAGAAAACTACAGCTACCTTCAATCGCAAGGGTGATGTATGCAGAAATGCATCCAGTTAAACCACTCTTGCTCGCCTAAATATATGTGTCTGGTAAACAGCAGGATGGACATGTGTGAAGTCAAGTACCTGCTTACTTATCTTCTTTATCACATTCTTACAATTGTTTAAATTTTACCACACTTTAATTGGAGCACAAGGAAGTGTGAGGAGCATTGATGAAGCACAACTGGAACCTTAATGTGTTTATGAAAGCTCATAAATTAATGCGTATGCTTCAAACACTTACTGGACAGTGATAGCTCTCTGAATTCTCTAACTAACAGGATATAAGCAACTGCATGCATACGTCAGGATGCTTCAGAACCATCCTGATGTATATCACACATCAACACGAACAGCTTTTATATAACAAGGTGCAATGTCACAGTAGGATATGGCCACTTGCTACCAGCTCCAATATCACTTTGCATTCTTATTTGTACAGAGCTTTGAGCCCTTAGACACAAGCCTCTATTGTTTTGCTCTCTAATTGGAGGTGTATAACCTAGAGCAGAATGGGAATATTGCATTTAAAAAAACAGACAGTTTTCTGTCCAATTGGCAACAACTCTAAATGACAACAAATGTGCAAGGCATCCAGTATCGGGTTTAGCTCTGCTGTTGATACTTGGTTCTTCAGAAATGGAAAAGAAGTCAACTATCTGACTATAGGACAAACTCTGTACAAAATGTATTTAGAACAGGGTGAGATCACTTCATTCTCCCCTTCTTGGTGGCCTTACCGTCAGCAGAGGAGCCGAAAGACACAGAACTCAGTTAAGCACCAAAAATCTTACCTCTACCTGCACCTGGGCATCATCGTGTTTGTTTTCAGCAAATGAAGATTTCCTGGTCTGTCCTCGTCTGTGGCCAAACTTGCATTTGTTCCTCAGGACTTGCTCATCATCTTCAATGGGTCGCCGCACGTATTTGAAACGATCTTTAAGGGCCCGTTTCCATAGCAACTGCATGGGGAAAAAAAAAAATCTGCCATTATCAGCATCTTTCAAGAATTTGCCCCATTCCTAAAGCTTTGTTTTATCTAACTCTACTTTATAAAAAAGTGCTTGCCACTAAGCAGAAAAAGACTCGTAGGGTGGCATCAGCATACTGGTGGCTTCAGGACTGAAGGAAACACAAGCACCTGTGGTATATGACTTCATGGCAACTAAACAGCAGGGTGACTGGTACCACCACGGTTCATTAAGGATGACAGTAATTGGACCTAAGGGTTAGATTTATCCAATATAACCAGGGCTATCGGTAAAACCACAGTTTGCTTTCCTTTTCTCAGCTCTTACTTTGGGATCAGGTCATGAAACTACACGGTGAATCAGATCAGCTCACTGATGCCACAGAAAACTAATGGGTTGTTTTGGGGTTTTTTGAGTGGATTATTTTTCCTCTGCCTCTGACAGCATCTGACTGGTTGTGCAGTTGTACGATCATTGTATCTAACACAAGAGAGTGGGAAAGACACAGTGGGACACTCTCTTTTGCAGGGAGCCTACAGTTACACCAGATCAAGTGTATTAGTAAACTGAACTTAAAATGGCTGAATTAAGAGGATCATTTAAGTAGGTCCTAGTGTTTGTAAGACTGCTCTAGGCGTGTAGACTGCAACTTAAAGGCAGGCCTGCACTGCAAGCAGATGCAGTCCCTGCTTAACAGAGCCGTTCATCAGTCCTTGGCAGCTGAAGATGGTGTGTATGTTGTCCCACTGCTTCTATCACACTCGTGTCTTTTTTTTTTTACTTGGGTACTGAAAAGTCACTTCTGAAAACTGGATAGACAGCTACTTCCTCCTGCGTCCTTACGGACAGACGGCTGCTCACCTGCAGTCCCCGGCTGGCTGTCCCGAGGCGGGACCCAGCCGTGCTAACTACCCACACGCGGGGAAGCAATTTCGAAGCAAAGGCTGTTAAATGTGTCCGCAGGCAAACCTGCAGCAGTGGATATTGAAAATGTTTTGTCAGATCCTCAAAAGCAACTGCTTATTCCAGTCATTGAGGGGTTTTCATCAGTCAGAGGGAACAAAAATTAGTCAGAAAAGTGACTGTAAGTGACAGGACATAGGAAGAGAGATTCAAATAGCTGTTACCTCGTTTTCTAAAATTGACTCCAATACTATACCCGCTTAATACTATACTGAAGCCTCTACTCACTGACATACTGAAACGCAATATAAACAGAAGAATGACTTCCCCCAATTTCTTACCAAAATGGTTTCCTTCATTAGTCAAGGGCATATGACTTTAAGGGTTAACTTTGGTGTAAACCAGAATTCAGTGAAAGTAGACGAAGTAGCACAGTATCTTTCTCCGCAGTGAGCCTGATATGCCTGCCTTTCTCACCCACGGCATACGGATGGGAGGGTCTCTTAAGAGACGGTGGTGAAGGCAGCGTGACCTTGTCTTTCTCCTGCTGAACATACTGCTCCCACCTCCCTAGGGTAACCAGCTGGCTCACAGGCCCTCCATCCCAAAAGCAAGACCTCCATTAATGGTGAAAAATGGCAGGGGAAGAGCTATGAGAATGCAGCCCCTCTGGTGGCATCTACCTCAGCTCTTCTTCAGCAGACCTGGGCCAGCCAGGGCAGGTGTGCCCCTCCGGAGGGACACTTCCTGCCACCCACCTACGGGCCCTTACAGAAGTATCTTCTGCCAGTCACCCTCGAACATCCGAGAACTGGAAAGAAAACAAACCTATCTGCACTTCTCGTATGTAAGCTCCAGATGTGGGATTCTGCCAGAACAGGAGTCACGTTGTCACCAACCTGAACGTAACGATCAGCCGCAGCGCACAACCGCCCACCCAGTCTTCTCACAAGGCCTCAACTGAGTATTGCACCCAAGCACTGTTTTCCAAAGCAGTGAGGTGACTACATGCCTTGAAAATCCCACTTGCTATCAGCTTGAACCATTAAGGTTCCTAAATATGCTTACAGTTCTGGCCCTATGCATTTACATTTTGATGCAAATACCCCAGCGTTATATGCTTAGCAAAATTTATTTGGAACATCATTATTTTAAGGCTGTTAAGAAACAAGCAAACAAAAACCCTTAGTTTGTTAAGAAACAAGCAAACAAAAAACCTCAGTTTAACACTTCTCGGAAGTGTTCAACAGATGTTAAAATACTTTAAAACATGAACATCCCAGAATACGTTACCAGCTGACAATTTAAATAGCCCCTTGCAGTTTCTTTCTTTTGAAAACCTTTGCTTGGCTAAGAGACATTTTCACTTATTCTTCCACATGAAAGAATATGCTGACACCTATACAGAGCTTTAAATATCCCTCAAAGTTCAAAACAGTCAGCTGTTTCATCCTTCTGTCCTCAGATAAATTAAGAATTTCAACTAAATCTGTTTCTGTAATAGAATTCTCATAAGCACGAGTCCTGTCTCACATGCCTATTTTTCATAAATGAGACTGCGAGCACATACATTTACGTGGTTTCCCTAGCGGGTAATGCATCTTCTAAAAAGGATGCTTTTGTTACCATTTTTGAGCTGATAACTTTATTTTCTATTAATTCCCCATCCCCAAAAAGCCCAGACCGCTCCAGGGAGGTTTACAACGCTTGTAAGGGAGCAGAAGGATTAGTCTGTGCCTATCTGACATAGGAGGGAAAGGATTACATGCAGATTAAAACCAGTAATTTTCTAGCAAATAATCATTTTGTGTGCAGCGGTTACATAAATCGGGCATGTCAGCACCGGGATCCCGGGTCTCACCGGCATCACGGCACGGCTCGGCAGCCCCGCGCGCGCGGCGCGGCTGACGCAAAGCCCGCTGGCAAGCGGTGCGGGTCAGAGCCCCCTCTCTTCTCCTGGCGGTCTTGCAACCATACGATTTCCAGTTGCTGACTGAAATGAAATGAAGTAAGGGCAGTGACTCTTTACAAATGGTTGGATGTAGCCCTTGTAAAAGGAATAAACACAAATAGAAGAGTAGCTTGCCTGTGGTCAAGAAACAGTGTCAGTCCAATTTTATTGTGACTGCTGCGACTATGACCTTGGCTTTTTCTATATAACCTATTTGTCTGTGACGACTGACAAATGCTGCACTGGTTACATTATAGATCAGAAATCTAATAATCTATTTCATGATCAAATGGAGATTAATTTTTTAGAATGTCGTATGTGTTACTTCAGGATAACGTAGTTCTTTAAGTAGAAGCAAACATCATGGGAAAAATTCCTTATGCAAACACCTTAAAGTACTTCTGTCCAAAAGCTAATCTTGGAACAGGGTGGGGAAATTAATTTAATTCCAGGTGCTCCACAGACCTCTTAAATGAGTTTTGCTTTTACTATAAAATGATTAATTTTTTTTTTCATTCTTATTTAGGATTTCAGATTTTTTTTCTTAATTCCTGCTTCTACAGTGACCTAGTAAATAACCTTCCTTTTAAATTCATAGTATACAAGTAGCTTATTCATAACCTTAAACTTATTCATTCAGGATCATTATCATCATTCAGGCTATATTCCATTAGATAGCCTTTTCAAGGGCCAGTGGGCACAGAAGCATATTTTTCTCTACTCACTCCAAAATTAAATAGGAAACCTTTTAACCAAGGAGAGGGAATTATGGATAATCTACTAATAAATCTTGAAACACTAAACCTTTAATAACTTCTCACTGAAACAATATAAGATTGCAAATATTATACTACATTTCTATATAATGCACACATGTTTAAATTACTTGTTTAAAATAGTTTGGAGTTGTAAATAAAAACTGTCCGGTATTTTGGGGGAAAAAAGTTTAAAAAAATGGAATGTTCAAAGTTTTGCAAGTATATTTTTTCCTGTCGTGAAAATACTGGTGTAAATTTAGGCGTTCATAGGTTTGATTTTTTGTTGGTTTTCCTCGTAAGTTTTCCAGCGGATCTTTCCCCTTTCCCACTTTTCCAAGCCATTTCCTTTCCATGAAAATGTCGCAACAAGAGTGCTGACATTTCCGGTTCACCGTTTCTCCAAGTTTTTCATTACATCGAGATCTTTCTGTTCTGTTCTCGGTCAGGAGAAAAAGCTAATTCTGGAATGTCAGGATCTCTCAGGGGATGAGCTTTCCCTTTTCTCAGCCAGAACGCCCTTCGGGCTGCCCCGGCCCGCCCACGCCACGTGCGTCCTGACCGTGGAAGGACCCAGAAGAGTTCCCACTGCAACCTTCCCCCAGCCAAGACACATCCGTTTCTGGTGATGGGCTCCAAACCATAAAACTCATGAGTTAAACATAAAATCACACCACTGACACGCCTTCTCAGGGCTTCTTATTAAGAAATTCAAAAGTCTGAATACTTGAAAACATGTTTGTTGGTGTTCTCAAGAAACTCAGATAGCTTTATTAATCTACCAGTCCTGGAAACCATCACTCTGAGGCCTGCCCAGCCGAATTGCCATGGTCGGCGTGTTCCCTTCTCCAGCCTTACGACGCACCAAGAGGAGGGGGTTATCCCTCAGACACAGACATCTGCGCACAGCCGGTCGCCCGAGGCTCCCTTTGGAGTCCACAGAAAGAAACAGGAACTTCCATAATGCTGTTCCTCTCTTCCCAATGTAGACATCAGAACCACATTATATGAACTGCATCTCCAGATGTTTATGTACGTTATTAACTCACTCATGTAACTAGCGTTTTTCCTTAAAATACTGCTCTCATGTTACAGTTTTCCTTTTCCACCCTTACCATCAGCCCCCAAATGAAGAGCTGTCTGCTTTACCTCTGAATTATTTTACTGATGATAGTTTTCTTAAATACTTCCAGTATACTATTAAAAAATTGTAATAATAGCCATCTAATTATTAACACATTTAAGGGATTCAGAACCCCTCAGTAAGTAATATTTTACGTCTTACAAAACCTGTGATTCGACACTGTTACCAGGAACAGCCAGCAGCAGTTCTTATAGCCTCATGCTAGCCTGGGGCAATTTTAAAAGAAAAGCCTACAAAAAATGTCACTTTTGAGCTGCTGAAGACACTTCTTCTGAGAAAGGATGAAAGAATGGTGGTGAGCCAATTTTTTGGTTGTTGTTCATTTGTGTCTTAAAGGTGTATGAATTCAGTTTTACTGCAAGCCTCATTCTGACTGGCTGTGCATATGGTGTAGGGTTTGTTTTAAGCCGTTGCTGTTGTAACACAACTATCTCAGATCAGGAAAAAAGAAGTATTTATAGCCTTTATGATCGTGAAGGAAGCACAGAACATCTAACAGAAGGGCCAACAAAAATGGTAATTCGTTCTCACCCCCTCCTCCAAACTTAAGTATACAGATGTACACCTTTGGTGCATTTTTCCCTGCCTCAACCCAGGCAGTGGAGAGGGGCTGGCTCAGAAGCGTTAGACTAGCAATATTGCAAACTGCTAATCCCAGCTTCCTCGCTTACTAGGGTAGTTTCTTCCAGATATGCTTTCTAGTAAGGATGAGAGAAACATCAAAAGATAAAGAACAACAGTCTCTGCCCCACCACGTGCCCCACCACTTCTGCCAGCACCGATTCTGGGGAGCAATGACCCATTTCCCAAAGAATGGAGTTAGAAGTAGTTGCACTCAGTCTCTGGTCCTGCTGCAATTAAGTCTTTTGAAAACCTAGATAAGAACCTGTTTAAGAACAGTTTTTTTTAAAAAATTAAGGGCTGTAAAAAGGTCTTTGGACCCAACCTGCACCCAACCTGCTCCCTTTCACAAAGGGAGCCGGATGAAGCTGTAGCATTACCCAGGACCCCGGCCATGGACCCCCAGTGGGTTATTCAGAGAGGAATCCCAACCGAAAATGAAGGTGGACTCTTGCGCTCTGATCCTTCTGCTCCCTCTCTCCTCTCTAAGATGTGTTTGTTTTCTTTAGTCCCTTCCCTCCTACAATGCCTGGGCTCAGGGGAGAACTAGAATAGCCACCCTTTAATCCTCACTTATCTTTTTTTTTTTAACTCTCAGAATTATTTTGCTTTTTTCAGTAACTGCATGAGATATATAAATATATATGTTTAAAGGTAACAATCTCCACTGAGTCTCACAAGCTTTTGCAAGATGCTATAAATGGATCACATGGCAAAGCAACGATGCGAAGTCAAAAGGTGAACACTGTCCTCTGAGACCACAGATATTTATACTGGGTCACAAGAGTGTAAAAATGTAGTTCAAATTTAAGTCATCTTCTTCCACTGCGTTCTGTTATGTCCCCACCAAGATACCAACCAAGTTTTAAAAGAATTATTTTTTTTTTAATTAGGGCTAGATTCCCAATATACTTAAACCAGTAGTGTTACTGCCTGCTGCAGCTAGATATTTAACAGACAAGCTATCATAGCACATTGCAAGAGCATCAGTCATATGTTAGTCCTCATAGAGACAATTTTCTAAAGGTTTGACTTCTTTGTTTTTAAAAACAAAAATAAGTCACATTTAAGTTTATCCTTTGGGAGAAATCAATCCAGAAAGAAACTGTACCCAACAAGCAACCAGGGATTTCATGTACATGTCTGCATGATCTCACAGTGGCTTGGAGGAATGGCTGTAACTGGATTCATCTTTAATGAATATAATGAAATAAGAGTGTGATTTGCCAAACATGTCAAAGTGAAGCTTACAGCTCTGAATAGAGCCGGTATATAAGAAATCGGTATCGATTTCCTCTGAACTAGGTTAATTTCTTGTGATTATGTGGGAAAAAAAACCAACAAAAAACCCTACAGCACAACAAAGAAACCCAACGACTGTATTTCTCAAGTCGGAATACTCTTTACAATACTTACAAAGCCATTCCCGTCTTCATCAAGGAACGGGTATGCCTGCAGCAGAGCACTGACAACGACGTTGTACTGCTGACTGTTCGGATACCTGTGCAAACAGGGTGGAGATGTAAAAGAAGTACTTGGTATTCTAGCGAGTATTCGACGCTGGAGTCTATACAGATATATGTTAAACTGACTATTTCCAGGACTATCGATCCTCTTCCAAGTAACAGAGGGAGCAGCTCTAAGGTTTGCATGAAGCCTTCCTGTTGGCTTCAACAGGTTTCAGGCTCTTACCCTCCTCTATTTTAGCAAGAATATTAGAGAATGGCTCTACATTCATTTGAAAGTTTTCTTCTACAGCCACTTGGTAATGCCCACAAATAACTTCAACAATGTTTACTCACAGTGATCCTTCTAGGTATTTTGTCATGTCTGCTTGTAAAAATTCAATAATCCTTATTCTCATACTGTGATCAGGGCATTTTTTTTCTGCCAATATGCACTTGACATCGTAAGGGAAATTTGGCAAAGCGTAAGAACTTGTCCACTGCAACGTCTTGTATCTTGCAAAAAATGATTTCAGATTTTTTCTGTAAAAGAAAAGATTATGTTATCATGATCGCACTGTTCTTCTATGGGAATGCATAGAAAGAAAGAAAAATACAAGCAAAAATTCAACACAAAGGAAAGTTATTACTATGGAAATCTGAGGCTTGCTCTCCTGGTTTCTACATAAGGAATACCCACAAAAGCTGCAATCAAAACACATGGGGTTAAAACCAGATGTCAATTGTAAAATGTTTTAATCAGCAGACGCTAGAAGGTGGTCCCTAACTGAAAGCAGAAGGCAGAGCGGAGGAAGTCACCAGGGACTTGCTACTGCTGCAAAATAACTTTATCTGTCATCATTTGTTTCCTGCCAGTTCTGCTAACTGACTTGTGAGAGTAAGCTGAACAGCTTAATTGGATAAAATACTATACAGGACATTAGCTAAGACTGTCGTCCCAAAGAGGAAAGCGGCGAAGGGATGACGGCAGTTACCATCAGCACAACGGCTGGAAGCAAGGCAGACACAGCCCCTAAGTACCTACAAGCTCCCGTCCCAAGAAGACCACCACCACTGGCTACCCAAGTGCTTCCCACTTCCAGAGAGCCTGCCAAACCCTAATTCTGAAGGAACACAGGGAAAAGTAGAGATAAATTGAGCTAGAAGTCAAAGGTCAAGAGCCACCTAAAGGGTGAAGTGGTTCTGGCAGCTCCAGACAGTTTTCCAATAGTAGTCCAGACCCAATAAAGAAATTTAAAATGAGAGATGCTAAAGACATCTAAATAGTCTTGTTACGTATGTGGTATCACTGCAATTTATGTTTACTTTGATTTAAATTGCTCTCTGTACATTGGGAAGTTTTTCTATTCAGCTTCTTTCAGATAAGGATGTAAAAAAAGCTCCTTGGTAACCAAAATCTTTGGGCTGGCAAAATCAACTGCAATACCAATGGAGGAGCATTTGCAGGAGCTTAGCTTATACCACTTTGAAAGATTACTATATCTGGGAGGCAGATATAGTATATTTTGGGCCCCTACAGCATTAGTTATAGCCTCAATAGCTTCTTGAGTAGGTTAGCTTGTAGCTCTCATAACCTTAGGAGAGGCTGCTGCCTCTCCAAGCTCACCAAATTTTATGGGACACAGATGGTTAACAGTGGATGCAAACTGTAATGAACTTCTGCTAGTACTTTGCAGTCTCAAAAGAAGGAAAATCTGTGTGAGATGTAGACAAACATATCCACACAGACACATTCATGTCCTTTTTTGGTGATAAGTTAATACACAAACGGGAAAATAAAACCCAATCCTCATTCTGGAATCACTTGGAAATCCCTCCGATGCAAATAAAGTGCAGATGCTCAATGAATCATCAGTGAGGACCCTGTAAGTTTGCATCCTGTACTTTCACCAACTTTCACTGATCAATGTGATGTAACAAACAGGCTGCACGTTACTACATACTTTTTTGAACATGCTGTCATTTAAACTAGCTCAAAGATGTACAGAAGTTTATAAAGTACAGTAATTTGCAGCTGAGCAGCACTGATATTCTGATATTCCTGTTGTTGCTAACACCAGTGACGCTGAATTGCCGTTTTGAAAAGTAGAATGGTTTAGCAGGTTCAGTTCAGGCAAACTGAACTGCACTCATTTCCTTGAAGAAAATAAAATCTTCTTGGAGTTGGGACGGCTAATAGGCATGGAGGCATGGTTACTCTCCCCTCCACCAGTCCCTTCACATTTGCCAGAGCAACAAAAATACTCCAAATTCCATTTCTCTTCAGCCTTACCCGACGCAGAAAATACTCCCTTGCTGTCCAAACAAAATCCAAAAATTCCTTTAGTCTCCACGGTGCAACAGATTAAATATTTTACTAGCTTTTGCCGAAACCGTTACTGTTAGGCAGTCATGTTAAATACGCGCAGTAACATTTTACAATGAAATACAGATTTGTTTGAAAAGAGATACAACTCCACACTAAACTTTATCCCCAGAAAGGCTCACATGCAAACTTGTTTAACCAAAAGAACAGTCCAGTTAAACTGTACGTGCACTGGGATTTACGCATACAGCCAAGACCTTCCTTGGTTGTGGAGAACAGCATTACAGCTAGAGCTTTAGGTACAAACAAATACAGCCTGTTTCTAACCATCTCTCTCTGGTCTTCTAGCTAACCTGAGACACAGAGATAAGATCAAGACCCCCAGTACAAATTCCTACATCTTTTCTTTTCTCTCGGTTCTTAAGACATTTGATGCTGCAGCTAAGTCAATCCAATAGCTAGCTGCCGCCAAATGTCAGTCCCCCTCTGCCCCGCTCTTACAGGTCTCTGCCCCTTTCTTACTGGTACTGGGAAGCCTCTAAGCCTGCAACAAGTTACTTCAAGGAGCTACAGTGATGAATTCTTCATTTTTATTCTGAGTTTAGTTTTCTCATTGTTCAGGTCCCCAAAATGAGCTGAAACAAATACCAGTGCAGATAAAGCAAGCTTGTCTCCTTACGTTTAGCTGCAATATGGAACTGCATCCTAAGAAGCCTATCCTCAGCAAGGACACAACTAATCACAGAGCTTTTGACCACTCAGCTTTTGTAGATGACCGTACTGTACCAAGTCACGGCACCGTTTCACACAGCTATTTCTTTCTTTGGCTCCATTACAGCCTTACACGGCTCACGCACAGCATGTGTACTGAGGCATGAAACTATAAAATAACATCATTTTAGGAGGAGCCGTTTGTCTCCTCCAGCTGGAAAAGAACGCCCCCAAAACCAAAATAAAACCAAAATAACAACCCCCAAAGCCCCCACCTATTTGAATTATATGACCCCTGGGATCCCTAATCCTGGGGAATATCTTGTTTTACTGCCAAGAAGGAGAAGATTTAACACACTTGCAGCATTGCCCAGAGCATTCGATGAAGATTTTAGATTGCACTGGAGCAAAGAGTGGTGAGAGAACACAGCATCATAGTCTCAAAACTCAGTGTCCTATGCAACCTCACGCAGAGAGACAGAGCTGACTGAATCAGCTGTAATGAGTCAGTAAAAATAATCTTGTCATCAAGATAGACAACTCAGTCAAGATAGCTGCGCAAAGTGCAGTAGATACCTAGAAACAGGTTCAAACACTAGATCATTGACTTTGTAATTTTTTAGCTTCTGAGCAATAAAAAGGATCAGTTTCCTGCATCTAGTTCATTTAGGAAAAAAGGTTACTTAAAGGCCAACTGAGCACACGCATAAACAGGCTGTGTACCACAAGCTTTTCTTATTGTCTACTTTAGTAAAGTCCATGAGTCTATGGTACTCATTGCTACATCTTGTATCAGCTCAGGTCCCAGTAACTCAGAGGACATCACAGTTGAGCAGAACCTTTCGGACATCAATGGTTTCCATGTTCAGCATGACCACATAGAACTTAGCACATGGGTGGACCCCCAGTAGATTCCCATTTTTCACAGGTGACGGTTTAGCCTTTCACGTGTCTGCATCAAGCATCAGCAAGAGACTCTGGTCTGAAGATTTGTAGTCTGGGAAAAAAGTCCACATTTACAAAGCCAACGAAGAAACAGAAAAGAGAATTTACAGATGTGAAGGGAGGAGAAGTCTGCAGCTGTAGAAAATGTTCCTTTTCCCTAACACTTGCTTAATACGCTTTCCATTGTATGTATTTAAGGTTTTAAAGGTTGTTTCCATCAAAAGGAAGACATGATGACAGATGATTAAATATCAAAAGAAACTCTTTCTCCTCTCTCAATAGTAGGATAAAATAGAGCACTCTTTTCTATTCACAGATCCGAGATCTGTACTTGAAAGCTTCTCATGCCTTTCTCTTCCCGTGCTTCACTGCCGCTTCCTACTTTCCAGCACAAATGCACAGTTTCCCAGTTATTCCCTAGAGCCTGGGATTTTGCAGGCTACCTACTGCTTGATGGTGTCTTTTTCTTTTTCGGTTCCCCCTGGACGTAGGGGCAGGTATCCTTTAGACTGAACGTGGAGCTACCCGCAGCAGCGTTAGCTGCGGCAAGGCCGGGGCGTGGGAGCCGGCAGACACACCGTAGCCGCCCGCTTCCTACAGCGGCCACGGGTCCAGCTTTCCCGGCGGTACCCTTGCTACAGAAATCATCAGGTTCAGCACGAGCACAAAGTTACAGACAAAATTAATCAGCTTTAAAGGAAGTTTGTGAGACGCAAACACAACCGTCTTCTAGAGGGAGTTAAGATTTTTTCGCCGGTTTCCATTCGGAGGAGCTGCGTCGCGTAAGTGGAGGCTCTGCACTCCCATCTCGTGCAAGGGCAGCAGCTGCAGTTACAGCTGGGGAAGAGAAAGGGCTCCTTGGGGAATCCGACTGGCAGAACTGCCAGCTCAATCAGGCCATTTTAAAGAAACAGGGCTTATTTGCATTCACCCAGGTAAGATTTGTTATACTGTATCCAAAGTGTTATGTATTTGGCGGTTTTTTTTGTTGTTTTTATGATTTTGCTAGATCTTAACAAGAAAATGCAGTTAGTATCTCCTGCAAGTAATTTATGAGGCTTTGCCCATTTCTGGTGTGGAAGAAAGGAGAGCTAATTTTTTTTTCCCCCCCTATAAACTTTCACGGAAGGCTCACAGTACCATATTAGTAAATTCGGCTCTGCTGACCTCAAGTGCTCCAAAACTATGAGTCCAGGTGCCTTGACTTCCAAAACATTGAGGCAATAAGCACAGAGAAGATATTATAGATATTATATAGAAGAGTCTTCTAGTTTAATTTGTTAGTGTTCTTAAGCTTCCTGCTGCAATGACAGAGACACGAAATGCTGACTTAAAAAAATGACAGAAATTCTCTCAACCATACCAGTTGGAAACCTAAAATTAAAGAATCTCCCCCAAACCCTACACAAACCAAACCCCATAGATAGTCCATCTTCATAAAAACTGTTATAAATATTGAAGTGAAATTATAAGGAATCATTAAAATAAAAAATAAATTAGTTTTCTATTATGATAAATCATTCAACAGAGGAATCCACTACTGAAAGAGTAAATATCTTCA